AAACTTGTCCTTTCTTGTCTTACCACCAAGTTATTAATCCTCACAGCATAGCAGGGTTTCTGAAAAAAAAATTCATGATGTTTAACTGGTTGGGGTTGTTGAATTACTACTTGAAGACTGTGGATGGAACTAAAAATCTAGATTGCTTAGAGAGAGGATGGGCATCCTCCCACCATTTCAAGATGTAGAAATTTGAAAAACGATAGGAGAAAATTGCATATTTATTTGTCTGTCAATGATATTCTTAATTATTTGCAACTGAATTCAAAATACAGTTTTGTACTAAGCCATGATCTTCTAAAGATTTAAACGTATATTTAGTGTCTTAAAATATGCATCCTGTTGATCAAAAAAGTGATGCCAGGCAAATGCATAAACACTTTTGTGGAACTTGGCCTGTCAGTACAAAGGTGGGGTTTTTTTACATTCTGGTATTTAATGGTCACATTTATTGCAGCTTAAAGCTTCTTCTGTTCATTAAATCTTACTAGCCAGTACTTGATGACTTTCTATGCTTTCTAATAAGTAGGAGGATTCCATTTTAAAATGTCGCAATGTGTATATATCAAGCTAGTAGACCACAGTCAGTTTTAGAACCAAGTGGAAATTAGATTTTTCCTTTTAGGTAGGGAGTTCTTTCATATGAAACATTTTCTTATCCCCCTTTTTCAAAAAGCATCCTCCTTAACATAGTAAGCATTTCAATTAAAAATTATAGTAATAAAAGTTTGGTGACATTTAATTTCGATTATATAAGCAATAAATTTAACTTAATATTTTTTAAATAGAGAATTAAATATTCCAATAATATTGAATTGTGGCACAGATAAATTATTTTACTGTAGAATTGATTAATCTCTACAGGAAGTGCAGCCCTATACACTAGAATAAATTATTATGCAATTAAAAACATCACAGTACATAAGTACAGAGAGATTCATTAGGGTTACATATCTTTGTTTTGGCTTTTCCTAACTTTTTTACTTTCTCAAATGTTGTTTTGATGATACGGAATTTGCATGAATTAGTTGTACTTAGTTTAGTTAATGTTAATGATGATCAAAAAGCACATTCGTTTAAAATATTGCATCCCTAAGATATAATTTCATTTTGTGTTTTATTGAGGTTTTATATGTAAACTGGTAAATTATCTTTCTTTTATACATGTGACTTTCAACCCTTGTGTGTACAGAACTTCCTTTGGATTATCAGAGCAAATGAAAATAAATGTTTGGCTTCTTGTTTTAACTAAAAATGAAACTTTTATATGTCATGGCTTATTTCAAAGATGTGTTTAGTATTTTAGTGATGTATGTTACAAAGCTCGTAACTGGTACTGTATTGCTGTATTTGTGTCAGAAACAAGTTTTAAATGGGACTTGGAGCAAATATGTTTGCCTTTTAATGTGGTACTAGTGCAAGTATTTTATAAAACTAGGGTTAGTAATGATCAAGACTTTAATAATTAGAATAATTGGTACCAGTAATAATCAGCGCTTGCATTCCAATTTCAGATTCCCACAGCCATCCTTTTTTCTTCTGCTTACTATGACTCCAGAAAACTCTGATAATTTTTGTACCACATGGTTCTGTGTTGATATTGCATGGCAGTTACCCAAAGGGAACTGAATCAAATGATTCATCCCACAGTGGCTAATAAACTCTGAACTTCAGGTGTATCTGAAAGGGTTAGAAAATAGCGCTTATGTGGCTAGGAAACATTGCTTCAGTACCTCAAGGAATGCTCCTCTAACTTCATGTTTGAAAAGACTATCTGTGTTTCTACTCCCAGAACAGAGATTTTTAAAAGAGCCTAAAAAACAAAGGTTTAACAAAATCCAGCCACTGGAAGTTGAAAGTAGACCAATTCGGTGTAGAAATAAATTGCATGTACTTAACTGACAAAGTGAAGCACTGAAACAATTTACCAAAGGTGGATTTTCCATCCCTAGCTACTTTAAATTCAAAGCTGGACGATGTTTTTCCCCAAAGGAATATGGACTAGGTCCAAATCATTTTGGAAAAGGCTGGTGTTTTCAGAAGCCCTACTTAGATGGTCATAGCAATACCTTTTGGCTTTATGATGTACAACTATGAATTTGATAATAAAAAGATTGTAATAATTACAAAACTTAAATCAAAAGTGAGGCCATTCACCAGGTTTCCATGAGGCTTTGCTTGTATTTCTAGAAACCTTAATTTTAATTCTGCCTGGACTTATTTGTTCTCAACAGGTCTCATGTACACTACATGAGGATTGAATGAAGGGAATCAAAGACTGTAGTAGGTTATTACTGATATTGCAGGCATTATTATTGCAAATATCAGCAGAAAGGCTTATTATCAAGGAGTTGACTTACTAAGTCTTTCTCTTGAGTGCACTTACGTCTCTTATGTTGTAGCTTTGGCCTCAGGCAGCATATGATCCTATCAACAGCACACATATGCGCAGAGCATAGAGTTCAAATATTTAAAGGGACATCATCAACTTGAGAATGCTTGAGTGGAAAATCTCCTACTTGCTTTAATTATTTAAAGTTAAAAGTATTGGAATGGAAAGGCTACATACACACCTCAATTTTTAGCTGCACTTTTTGTACACTGTAACGTGTGATTAGTTTATTTAATTTTGTTGATGATGAACATGCCTTCTAATGCATCATGTAGCAACAGCAAAGCTTAAGAGAAATGGACAAAACCCAGCAAGGGTGGAGAGAGACCGGGTGGGACTCCTGTGCCTGCGTAAGGCCCATCGACATAACAGGGTGCAAACTGATCTGTGCTCCTCTACCCACATTCAGAACCGAACAGGTCCGACCCAGAAGTTGACAAGTGTCCCTTTAAGTAGTGCACGTAGTAGTAGTGGTATAGCTGTTTAGTTGTTTCTTTATAATCCTTAAATTGTGTTTGTACATGTGTTAATATTTCAGAGGTTTTAAAATCAAGAAATAGTGTGATAGCAAACGAGGAGTAGACTCTTTACTGGTTTTGTAATAAAGTTTTTTAAAATCTCAATTTCAAATGAATTCAAAGTAAAACTTACCTAGCAGCTTTTCTAACTGAATGCTTGCTTACTGAAATCTCTTATAAAAGAAAAGATGCAGACACAACATGTCATACACGATCCTTTTGAGGTGGAAAGCACTGTGTTTCACAGGGTGTATAATCACTTTAGAAGCTTCGGTGTGTATGAACTTCACTCCTCTATTTTAGCAGCAGTTCTCCATGAGTTTTAAAGGTGCATATAATTTTTGTGAGGACTCCAGCACGCTGTCTCTTCTCTTGTCTGGTTTCTAGTCTTCACTTACACTCCACCATATGATAAAACTGTTATTACATGCTGTCTCAAGGTGACTGTATTGTAATGCCTGTTTCTGCTGATCTTAAAATGATTTTCCTTGTTATGGCAGCACTCTCTGTGGAATTCAAACGTCTTAGATGTTACAGCTGCTTTTTATAAAAAGCATGTGACTTGTTTCATGGCTCGCTTCATTTAACACAGTGAAAAAAATAAAATAGTCCTAATCAATTGGAGAGAATGTGTTTTTGCATGAACCTAGTGAAAGTTTACTTGCACTGATGTTTTTAAACGCCAGGTGCCAAGGTGTGGTCATCTGGTTACATGAAGCATGCTTTCTCTCAGTGTTTTACTTTGAAAGAAACTACAATATTAACTTTTTTAGTTAATATTTAGCCTTCAATAGAGGCACCTAGTAGTATGTCTGAAACAATTTTTTAAAATTATGTTTGGAAATACCAATAATGCAAAGCTATTACTGAATAGTATAATGTTATGAAAATAGACTGTGTTTTGTATAAAATTATGTTTCTTACCCATCTTTGGAAAATTAATTTCTTAAGAAGTCAAGAAAAACATTTAAATTCATTAGCTGAAATTTCCAAGCTTTGGAGTTTGTATTAAGCACGTAGTTCCTTAGTTTTGCACCTAACAAAGTGGCCTGATTTGTCAAGGCAGCTGATTATGTAGAGTCAGGAATAACAATGGGGACTCAAAATCACTGCAAAAATGGGCATTTATTTATGTGTCTAGCTTCAGCTCTGCAACTTCAAAAAACACTCACCTAGTTTCTGAAGATAGTTTTAAGTCAAAGATGAAGTAAACATTACATCTCAGCACATATTTCCACTGTTCTGTTTGGGCAGACCAAGAAGAGTACATTACATATAAAGCACTCTAGCATGACACACACCACCACCCCCCCCCCCCAAACCCCAAAAACCACTCTCGCATGACACCCACCCCCCCCCCCCCCCCCAAATCCCAAACAAACAAACAAAAACACAAAAAAACCCTCCTCTCTTCCCTGTCCTTCAGGTTCCAATTTTCTTAGTCTTTGGGAAAAAATTATTCAAGGCAATTTGTAAAACAATCAAGACTGATAAGTATTTAGTTTTCTGTGTTTTACTTGGGTCTCTTGAAGTTTATAAGTGTGGTGTTTTTCATTTTAACCCTTCTTGCTTGATCTAATGGTGAAGTCAATGTCATTAATGCTTGTTTCAGTTGCTGTTAGTAATGATGAAAATACTTTGACTTTTGTACTAGATCAAAGAGAAGGAAAAATGGATTATTTAATCATGTTACAGCATGATACATCTTCCTAACTGCAAGCAATAAAGACCAGGGAACAGTACATGAAAATTGAGTAGCATCTTTCTCAATTGGATGTGTTTACATTTGTATAGTGCTTTAAATCTTTAAGCACCATGGAAGCAAAGAATTACATTAGGAGTGACAGAGCTTTATGTAATCTCAAAGCCTCTTTTTCCAAGTTACTGAAAACATATACCACTCATTAAAATCCTGTCATTTGGATGTATAAGAACTTACATCTAGGAAAACTGTTAGTATAAAGCTACTGAGATTTTCTAGGTGGAATAATATGGTGCCTACTATTGAAAGTGTCACTTTTCTGCCTTGTCATCCATTGTGTTATACAGAAGTACAGAAAAAAGTGAGCCTGATTTGTTCTCCTTTGTAGAGCCAGGCCGAGGCCCACTACAAAGGAAGTAAACATGCCAAGAAGGTCAAAGCACTAGAGGCAACGAAAAATAAACCCAAAGTTGGTTCTTCCAAGGACAGCGCAAAGGCTAACACAAGCTGCTCCACCACGCCAGTCACAGCCAACATCTCTGACAAATCAGGTCAATGAAAACTTTTTGTTCTATACATTCTTTATTTTCTCCTTTTTTTGGTGTTTGTAAGAGAGACTCTGGTTGCATGACAGTGATCCATGACTTGTGTTTTCTAAACTACTTACTATGCTTTCTTGTACAGAATTGATTGGTTTCGATATTATCAAAATGCTTTTTCACATCTATGAAACATCAGGTGTCTCTGAATGCTAAAGTCTATTTTATTTTTAAAACTTGTGAAATTTACTGTTATAAAGTGTGGATGTTGTTCATACAACAAGAATAATGGATGCATGTGGGCGGAGGGGCAAGTCTGAGATGTATGGATTTAGCTGAAGCACAAGAAACCTTTGTAAGAAATTTTTCCTTTCTGAACAGGATAATATTGCTCAAAGAGGAAAACACACCTACAGAAATGTAGTGGAGCCTCACGGCACGGTATTTCCTGACTTCCACAGCTTGTTAGTGCTTCAACATAACTTTTTTTTTTTCCCCATATTAGTAATCTGAGGAAAATAAATAACACTAATTGCAGTGGAGCTGCTTGAGATTCTGCTCTGTCAGTGTTGTGTTACTGAATGAAACAGGAGAATTTCCTGAACTTGCTGACAGTCGGAAATACTGTGTTGCCCAGGAGAAAGCACCTACTGTGGGTTACCCAGCTGTTGGTCTGATAGGCTACTTCTGATGAATTTCCTTCTGCCTTGGTAGCCATTTTTTATCCTCTTCACCAGAGCTGAGCTTGACTCAGATGCCATAAGGTGAATGACACAGTTTCAGTTTTCTGACACACACACCAAAAGGAAAAAAAAAAAAAAGAAAAATCCATATCAGTGGCTACTTGTCATCCTGCTTTCTTCACAGCAGCACCCAACTGTCTTTGTCTGGGTCCTTAGCGATGACTGTGGGTCCCAAATTTTGAGTGGATTCAGCTAGCAAATCATGTGTTAGGCTTGAGAGAGATAACATGAATCCAAGCAGCACCTTCAGGTAAACAAGCCGTGTTACTAAGAGTAGCAAACTACCATCGATCTAAATAAAACGTGGACTATTGAATGGAAAGGGATTTAAAATATTTGATAAATATTTTACTCTCTGAAATATCAAAAATAGCTTTGGTTAAAATAGCTTACTGCTCCAGGTGCTCCAAGTAAGATATCAGTTAAAACTTTAGAGGATTTAACATGTTAAGAATGCATTCTGTGATAATTGTATAATGCCCGCCCCTGCCTGTGCCAAAGTCTGGGGGCCAAATAACAAAAGCTTCAGCATCTTTTACAAACTCCATCATCTCTTCCATGAGTCTGGATCTCTCTCGTGTTTCCTGTACCAGGCTGAGATCTGTCTGTGACTTAATTTTCTTCTTTTCTGTGCAACGTACCTAAATCATTCACATCTCTACATTCAGTTTTTGCTAGAATACACCAACCAATGACAAGGGAAACCTGCCCTTGATATTTTTATATTGCCCTGTTTTGACAGTGTGTTGTTTTATGCTATTAATTACTCTGCACAAATTAGAGTACCATCTGTGTCTGTTGGATTATACCACTGCAAGTGTTTGTACATTAAAAATAAATCACAGTGGCGATGTAGTTAAACGCTTTCTTCCCATTAGGAGAACAGTGGGATTCTCTGTGAAGGGGAGGCTCCTCAGAGCCTGTTACTGCTCTACAGGAGATTGTGAATGGGATGTTTGGGAGGACAAAAACCTGAACCTGGAGTGGCAAATTCTCCATATATGGAGGGAATGCTGGTTGCAGAGGTGGGGAACAGCTTGGAGATGGAGGGTTTTTCCAGGCTGTGGACTTGAAACCAAACCATAATGTTGTTCAGCCACACTTTCCCTTACAGAGGCTATTGTTTATCTGTTCTTTAACATGTGTTTAGCTCTTCAACATAATGCTCATTGCAGCTAGAGCACTCACTGTTGCGTCTGAGAATCAGTGGTGGGGTTTTTTTTGCCTTGGAGCAAATTAAGTAATACCATTTTTTCTGAATGTTTTAACACAGCTTTCATTGTCTGAGAAATGGAATATTACTACATATTAACTTTATAGGTTTATTTTAGTTTTCTTTAAAAGATTTCTAATATTAAGAGTTTCAGCTCATGTGTGTATTTGTGGTCTTGGTTTTTTTATCCTGATTTCCTGAGGAAACAAGACTTGTGGTCACATCATCTATCCTTATCTCTGTTATTCTCTGGCCCTGTCTTCACAACTTTGACTGTATTGCTAGTGTCAAAAAATCTCATTAAATGAAGAGGTTTTAATGAAGCTCCTATAAGTCTGAAGAAAATTGACACCCGGGTAGAAGAGAAGCCTTAACTTGTGGTCCATCCTGAGAGATGCTGCCGTGTGAGCTCTGTTTTGCTTAGCCTGCTGACTGGCCAGGCACTATGTTTGCCTTCATGAGGGAGGATTTGAGAGTGTGTATGTGTGGTGCAGGTCTGAAAAAATTGCATTAGAAGGACATAAGGTAGGGGCTGAATGGAATCAAGGAAAGGAATTAAATTCCACTGCTTGTGGAGCCGTTGTTTAACCATTGTACTTTGGAGGATTGCTAAGTTCCTGAGACATGTTCATCAAGAATTAAGTTATTCCTGATGTCCTTTTTTTGAGTATAGAAGAGGAGAATGAGAAGCTAAACAGAGAAGATAGTTTTAAGTTCTTGTGTTCCTTTGTTATCCGCTGTACTTCCACTGGTATTAGTGCAGAATGGGTAGAGACTGTTATAGTAAATTGATAAATGAAATTTACTATTCTTTTATGTAGGTCTGCTAATAAAAGGACACAGCAGGCACGACTAACAGCCTTTTTGATGTGCTGTCATTTTGATGTCATAATGATGAATGATCTGGAGCTCTTCAGACTGAACAGTTGATGTATATTGAACTTAAATGTCAAGTTAAGTTTGCTACAGAGCCGTGACTTCTGTGGGTCAGACATAGCATAAGATCCCAGTTATTTGTCAGACGTCACTATTGTACTCGTAACAGGAAGAATAATTTCACTGTTAGTTCAGCTTGTGTAATGAATCTTTTCAAAGGCAAACCACAAATTCATTCAGTCCTTATTTTTCAAAACTTATGATGCAGTGGTCTCTCTACAGCTGTTCCTTTCAACTTGAGAAGTGTGGCTGCTGGTAGAGCTACAGAAGTTAAATTAATCTTTAAGGTGTTTTGGGAAGTTCCAGAAGAACATGGGCTTCTGCAGACAAAAGTGGCCTCAGCCAAATGGAAAGGGGTGACTCTGAAACTCAGTCTGAGCATGACGATGCCCAAGTTGTGAGAGTGTGGTCTTCCCTACTGATGTTAATAATACATTATGACTCAGAAATGACTTTTGTAAATTGATCTTCAGCAAACATGTAATGATAAAGCCGTAGTACCGTAATGCTGAGTTGGCTGCAACCTCAGGTAAGTGGATACTGATGTGTTGGATTGCACAAGTTTTGCATCCTTACATGATTAGACTACTATGTGTTCTTACTTTCTAAGTGCACAACTCTTCACCATTTAGAAAATACTTGTTTATTGGTACTTGTAGGTACTACCATCCTATTCTGTTCACTATTTCTGCAGACTGGAAGAAAAAGCCACGGATGATGTGTGACAAGGTTGTTGTTCCTGTGCCTCTTGTTGGGTCCACATCTGCTTGTCCTGATGGGTATTTGCAGGTTGGAGGTGTCCATAGGGGACCCTTTCATAACCTGTCTCCCACACAGTTTCTCTAACCATCCAGGAAAATCCAGTAATGGCTATAGAACAGTTTCATATGCTAGGAAATCACTACGGTGACACTGCAAGCTTTTTTGTAGCTGCTTTGAGACATGGTTACAGAACAGCAGTGTTAACAGCAGTGGGAGCTGCTCTTTCATGTGGCAAAGATTCCCTTCCCTCCCTGTGGAAGCCCAGGATTTTCAGGATGGCTTCACAAAGTAGTGTATATATATGTATGGCATATATGTATGGCATTGCTTTAGAAAAGGGCAGGGGTAGCAACCGGTACATAGCACACTTGAGAATATTTAGAGTGTGTTTTAAATATAGCTCTGAGAATGCAATAGAAGATGGTGTCTGTGATCCCAGGTTAGCATAGTCTAGATGCTTAAAGTGATGAGTCCTTTAGGAAAGCATATGATAACAACTGGATTGAAATGTCACTGTTTACTTATCAAGCAAAGAGGAATTCTTTGATCGTACTTCCAAATCAAAATAAATAGTTCAAAATGAAGCAGACAGATGATGTGGTATCACCTGCTTTGCATTTTGCTTTGATATAAAAATCAGGAAGTAAATGCAACTGTTTTAAACTACTGAAAAGAGTCAAAACAGGTTTCAGATTATAAAAGGAAGGTCATTTATTTTTCAGTCTTTGATCCATTCAGTATGTGCTGCAGTGAGAGCCAGTTTGTGAAATGATAGGTATGGGCATTTCAAGTTCAGTCCTCATTCAAATAAGATCAGAAGGCTCTGCTACTTGGGGCTTAGTAGGTGCAGACAAACCCTTTGGATGCTCTATGAAAACTCGCTTTTGTTCAGCTGGTACAGGGATATGCAACATGAGGCACCTAACTAGGCCAAATTCTAGACCCTGTTTCAAATCCTGACCCCTCTTACTTCTGCTTTGTTCTGTAGCTGTGTCTCAGGGCAGACTCACAAGCAGTTCACAGGATCTTGGTGATGATATTCCAGCATATGAGCAGTCCTGTGCTGATCTGCTGGCTATGGCAAGGATGGCAGGAAAGGCATGCAAATGGAAAGTTGTTTGCCAGGTCCTCGATCCTAAGTGGGCCGTGTAAGAGTTATTCCAGTCATTACAGCTGTATAACTAAAACCAACTGAAGGTTGTTCTGAGGAATGTTGTCATGCTAGAGCGCGGTACAGTGTCAGACACCGAATGGGCTAGCTCATATTTTGAAAACAGTCTAGACGTGTTGATGGACCTAATAAATGCCACTTGATGTCATGTAGACATATGGTAATTAGTTGGCCCATGAGACAGGAC